AATTCTCAAGTAATACTAGAAATCATTAAAAAAACAGATAAAAACAAATACATAAGCGGGTAGGTAAGTAGGCAAGTAAGCAAGTAAGCAAGTAAGCAAGTAAGTTGTGAGTAAGGATGCTAACCTGACCGGGGAAAAGGGGACCATTCTGGTAGGTTTTGTCAACAGCATGATGACGTAGAGTGACTACAGCAAAATCCTCATCCAGAAATATTCTCTCATTGCCAATAGATCCTCCAAAAGCAATTCCCACAGGCTTTGGATGAGCCTCATACATCCTAGCAGTTGGATGCAAGTGGCTATAGACAACATTTTTCTCCTTCCCTAAGCAATCATCATTATGTATAATTGGCATGCTACTATTGTACTGGTCAGTTTAGTCACATAGATAAGCATATACAAGAAAGATTGCATACCTGAAGACCAGTAAACATGAAAGGCTGGACTAATAGCATATAAACTACCAGAAGTTCCATAAAACGAATCCCTGCTCTCTAAACCCTGATTAGTGAGAATACCTATAATCCATTTTCTTGTGTCATTTTTATTAGGTTCATAAGCGGCCACCAAAATCAACAATGGACCATTATATCCTTCAGTTTTTGACCAAAACCTGTTCAAACCTTTCCCATGGATTGATGACCTGAAATTATAATCCATTATCTTGTGTCATTTTTATTAGGTTCATTACCTCTGGTTGTTATATAAATGAGTAGTTATATAAGATATTGTATGAATATAATATGTATTTCAGCGAGCATTATAAAGTGCTTAAAAAAAGGTAATAAACATATCGTAAAAGAATAGTTACTTGGTTTTCAATATTTCTCCAAATCAAACTTGTAAGAGAATAGTTACATGAAGTTTCAAATTATTTTACAGTGCACAGGGTAAAGATTCTTTATCCTCGTAATTTTGATCTTATGTTTGTGGATATGATGCTCCTTATTTACTCCGGGTTCTTTATGGCGTTACATTCCATCTAGATTGCACTAGCCTAAAGAAAAACACATAAAGACAGTTTGTCCTTTTCTCTTACAATCAGAAAAAGCTTAAAATCTGAAAAAAGAAAATTCCAAACATATAGAAGTATTATAGTTTTGAGAGAGAGTTATAACATGGATCTTGGAAGCATGAGTTAGAGACTCCCTTATATATAAATAAAAAATAAAATAGGCACTGGTAAGCCTGAACTGTAGAAAGAAAGCGGTACACTAAGTCACTGACCGATAAAGAATCAATTCATTCATCTCATCTGCACTACTTGAAAAGCAAGCTTTTGAAATTTCTTCACTCATAGTGCTCTGCAAAGTAAGCGAGATAGCCCATGCCCTTCCACGAGTAAGGAGGTTGCTAATGGAATCATCCCTTTGGGAAATATCAATCACAAAATGCAACCCCTGTTCTAGTTTGTCCTAGCATTAGTTATAGATATTAGATACCATCAGCACTTCGATCCAATTTTGGAAAGTCCGATTCTAAATAAGAAGAAATCAGAAATGGAACAACCTCATGGGTTGCAAAGTAGAAAAGTCTTGCTTGGACAAATTGTGAAAGACAATCTGCAAGGTTTGGCAATGTCTTCAAGGCCCACATGGTGATCTTAGCAGCAGGAAGTTGAACATTGGTTTGTAAAGTTGAAGATTCCCAAATGTCCAATTTAGTGGTACAATTTTCAATACATGATTCAGTGGCTGACAATACCAAGTGACTTACATCTGGAAGAAGCCCAGAATGTCCTGAAGATTCCGTAGAGCTCAGCTTCTTACAATCCGACCACATAACCCAGCACATCCAAAGAAGCATCGATATATCAAGGGGCAATAGATATCCATTGGCTTTACATTCATCATCATCAGGATCGAATTGCAGTTTTTCAGGAAGACCTGCTTTCGAATTCATCATAGAAAAAACCCTAAATAGATTGTTGAATGAACTGGAAGCAATTTTCCTTCCACAACACCTAGAATAGCCTTTCAAGAACTCCACCCAGCTCACTCCTCCCTTTTGAGATAAGAAGAAAAGATCAACTATACATGAACTCAGATGACTCAAGAGAACGGGAAATTCTTCAGGTACACTGGTTACTTCGCTCGCAGAGTTCTCGATGGTAAATCGGAAACATTTCTGTCACCAATGGAAACTACAATCAAATACCGAAAAGTATATACTAAAACCAAGAGATTATAAGTATTCCACGGAATTCACAAAAGGGTTGGAAGTATGATTATATATGTATACTCAAGTACCTTAAGAGATTCAACTGGGATGGTGTTTGTTTGGGGATCGGAGAGGATAGAAAATGTCTTTTGGAGCGTCGGAAGTGCTCCTGTGGACGCAGCTAAGGATTCTGCTTCCCGTTGCTCAGGGGATGGCTGGTCGGTGGAGGACGATTGCCCCATGGCTGTGTCTCTTCTCTCCTATTCCGCTTCGTGATTCTCAACAGCTCAATAGCAGATGTCAAATATGTCTATACCGTTTCTGGATCAATCTCGCGAAATAAATTATTTTATTAGAAAAATTGGCAGAGTCCTACATTAAAAATGCATCAACTGCCGCCAATGCATCTTCTACAAGTATCTCGAACGAGTCTCACTTGATACATGTCAACTTGTAATTTAGGTTCAATTTGCATTTTCCCAGTAAACTATTCGATCGGTGCTAGGGATCCTTAGGTTAACTATTTGGGAGAATGGAAACCTAGAGTTCCAAATCTGGACTAAATTGAGATGCTCTTGAAGAAATGTAAAGAACCTCACCGCAACATGGAAATGGTTTACGCAAATTAATGAGAGGGATGTAAGTTGGGACGAGTTTGAGGTACATACTTGTAGGTCTGTGCAATTTAAAACTACATAAAGTTTTGGATGAATGGAAAAAGAAGGTTTTGAGAGTAAGATAACCACAAAAGTTTACAAGGAAATGTAATAGCAAGTCATCATCACAAGGACAAAGAAAAATTGTTACTAGAGATTAAATGAAAAACTACCCAAATTGTGATTTTACACAAATCTGGCGTTTTTTTCCTCCCCTAGCATGTGCACCAAATGGAAAACGCGACCTTGTGCTCACTCAAAGTTCTTTGTTGTTGTTGTAAACTCGTTGTCTTTAATCAGTTAACAAATTTTAAAGTGAAGACTACCCAAATTAACATTTTATTTTGATTACATAACATGCAAAACAAGTTGATTGTATACTGTTTGAAGTTCAACTTTGTGTTTAACAATTACCCCAGGAGGAAGTTGATTAAGAGATGAGCTTGTTACAATTTAAAATTTGGGATAGTAGTGTTAAGTCATCACACAAGGTCTTGTGTTGTCAAAGCATGACTAATGTAAAAATGGCACTGAAGTTCTTTGGGATAGTAGTGTTAAGTCATCACACAAGGTCTTGTGTTGTCACTTTTTTCAAATTAGCCGATTGTCTTATTCCCACCCCCACGGATACATCAAGTCAAATTAAACACATGTGAATAAATTGTACAATGTTCTTGTTTCCTAGTTGAGCTTTGTTTAGTTGCACGACAACTTACACACCCAAGTTAAATGCATGTGCATAGACAATTACACTTGGGTTTAGTAAATGGAAGTGTCTGTGATCTCGAAATGTCTATCTATACACATACTATTCATTTTTGGAGTCATAGACACTTCCCTTTACTAAAACCCAAATTAATTGTCTGTGCACAGGCATTACACTTGGGCGTAATCGGACGTGTACATGAAACAAAACTTTTCATAGTTTATTGCTTTTGTATGGGAATTTTTACTCATTTTCTATGAAGTGTATTCAGGATTTCACAGATATTACAAAAAAGAATAAAAACTAGTATTCTATGCCTCGGGGCCTCGGTGGATTCATTTTACCACTACCTTTCTATAAATAACTTTAAGGAAAAATCGCATATATGGTCCCTCAGTTATTCACGGAATTAAAATTTCAGACCTATATTTCTGAGATTTCTAATTACACCCCCGAGTTGGCCCACTTACATTAAATGTCGTCCCCGTAGTTAGAAGTCCAACTAACGGCATCTGGTCTTCCATTTCATGAGGGGTAAACGCGTAAATTTCCCTCCTTAAAGGTTTAAATCACTAATTTCGTATCTATCGCTTCAACCTTCGTTACCTAAAGTCTTTATCACGCTTATCACTCCCAAATCCATTACCTCCATGTACAGCGGTAGGGTGGTTGCAGAAGCTGACAATTATCGCTCATTCGCCATCAAAGTCGACTCCCCGATTTTCCAAAAGGACGCTCGCGGCTATGTTTTTCCCCGCCGAAACATCATTTGTAACGTCTCTCAGATTCTCCAGGCGCCTTCTTCTCCCTCGTCAGACCGGTTCCTTGACCTTTCAGAATATCTCAATACCTTGTATCTAGCTTTAACTCCCTCGGAAGCCTCCGAAGTTTTCAAGTCTCTCAAATCTCTAGCCCTAGCTCTCAAGTTCTTCCAATTTTGCCCCGCAAGAATCCCTAGTTTCCGGCACGACATACAACCACATCATTCTCATCATGTCCCAATCATCCCTCCCAACCAGCCTCCCAAAAATTGGACTAATAAAGACGTGTAACCCTATAATACTTGTGGTTTCTATTCGGACGATTGGTCGGAAACTCGGAATCCTGAATTATCCCTGCACTTGTTGCTCCCCCGACTCTCTCTCTTTGTTGCCGGTTTCTTCCTCACTTCGTCCCTGCTTTTGGCTTTTCATTCTTTGTTTTACCACTACTTTTTAAGGACCAAAGTATGAATTTTAAGTTATCTATTTTGCACATTGCTTATAATATGGCAGATATAATTTTACACATTGCTTATAACTTATACGGAGTATAAGTTATCAAAGAGGAAGATGCTTTTACTGGTCTAGTGGTCTCACTTGCAATCTGGAACCAGAGCCACTTTCCACCATAGCGTTTCCAAGACAACCAGTTCATTGTTGCATAACCCATATTAGTATATTACTAATATAATAATGTTGATGGTTCCCCCCTTTAAGTTTATTCAACACCTTACAAAATAGAAGAAACACTACATTTTAAGAATTGTTCTTAAAATCATTAAAATCATTGTTGCTACTGGTTAACCATTAAAATCACCGTGCATATGTACTTAAGGGCCGTGGTTTTTCTGTTTCTTTGAATCTGATCGAGTCATTAGCAGTGCTACAGTGCAAATTCACTACTTCAGTATATCTTGGTTGCCTATATGATAAATGGTGATGTTAAGTATAAAGGGGAAATGTCATATATCATGCTAATTTCAAGGGGAGTAATGTTAGTGATGATGTAGGTATAAATCATCGTGATTATACTACATATGTAATATGGTAGCGTGTGCACACGAAAAATGTGATGAGCATGAGCATGAGCATGATCTATAATTCTATAGGAATTCTTATAAACTAGCACAGACAACTTTAGAAGTTTTTGAAATTGTGCATATTAAAAATGAAATCCCCTTCATTGTTACCTCATCCATAAAAGCTTCTTAACACTAGCTTGGTTGTGTGTTACATTCCTCTTGAATACAACTCCATGGTGCCGAGTCTCTTTTTAAACCTCCAACTCTAGGATCTGATCTTGCTTAAAGTGGCTCTCATAGTGGTTTTGAGCTGGTTATTTCTATCCTCAAACCCCTTTATTTCAAAGAGGTTGCGTTATGAAGCCCAAAAATGACCTTGGACAGCAGTGTGTGATCTGAGATCTGAGTCACGCTGAACAGACGACACCTCTATCTCTACCGGTGTTGCTTCTTGTCAAGTCACAACTATTTATTCTCGCGGCAACATCCTCTCGATTCCTAGGCCAATGCTCCAAACAATTGAGTTGCTTCTTGAAGGGAGAGTTACCAAACGAACCCTAAATCAACCAATGGTCAAGCATTCATTTGTTTGTGCAGTAACCACAATGAAAATTAATCTCCCACTGCACCGCATCATCATAAAGTGATCACTTGTCTTCCTCAAAAGGATACTCCCTTTTCACATATGAACTTTGCATTTATTTTCCTCTTTTCCTCCCAAACCCCCACCACTCAACATCTAATACTCAAGACCCCCTGCGGATCAAAGAAATGAGGAATAAGTAGTATTGTAGTAGTGGTGGTGGTAATAAAGATGATGATAGTAATAATAATACTAATAATAATATAATAATACGGAGTAATAATTATTATATAATGAAAATAATAATAATCATAATAGTCATAATAATAATAATAATACTCCCTCCTTTAATGATTGCTACAATAGGTTTTGGCACATTATTTAAGAAAAAAAGTAGAAGGGGTAATGAATAGTGTAGAAAAAGAGTGTAAAAGTTTAAAAGAGAAGATAAAAAGGTAGAAAAAATAAAAGTAATTGAGTATTTTTAAAGGAAAACTTACCAAAAGGGGAAAGTGTAGCAAACTTTCAAGTACATCCCAAAAAGGAAAGTCTGGCAAACTTTAAAATGCGGAGTAATAGTATATTAATAACAATAACAACAACAACAACAATAATAATAACAGCAAAAATAATAACAATATTAACAGGAATGCAAGATAACTATGGTCAGCAATTTGATTTCCATATAAATGACATTGAGCAAAATGATCCAGAAAACTTACTGGCAAAAGCATTTCATGCATTACTAGAACATAATCCAGGCCACTCAGAAAGGGGTGGCAGGGTGGGGGTTCTGGAGAAGATAATACGTGAACTACAACTTTCTTTCTCCTTAGCTTCTGAGTTCTGGGACATCTCCTGTGTCCTTCAAAATGTAAGTCAAGTCCCTAATCACTTCAAATATCAAATCTGTTTGTGCATGAGTATTATGTCCCATAGAGAAGAAGTGTGCTTGTCTTTGAACCTCAATCATGCTATGACCAGTCTCCTTTTTAACACCCGACTCTTTCATCACTCTCCTGACTTCTGCAACATTGTTCCACAAACCAAATGAGGCATAGGCATTAGAAAGGACAACGTACTTCCCGGCGTTCTCCGGTTCCAGCTCAAAGAAATTCATAGCAGCGAGTTTAAGCATGTCCATATTTCCATGAATCTTACAAGCCCCAAGCAAAGCACCCCATAACACAGGGTGGTCCTGATAGGGTGAGTTTTTAATAAACTCATAAGCCTCTTCTAACCTCCCTGCACGTCCGAAAAGGTCAACCATAGCCGAATAGTGTTTCCCACTTGGTTGAAGCCCATAATCTCTTGTCATTGAAGAAAAATATTCTCTACCTTCATCTACTAACCCTCCATGGCTACAAGAAGAAAGAACTGCAAGAAATGTTACAGTGTTGGGTCTAAAACCTTCACTGACCATTCTATGGTAAGACTCTAGCACCTCCACTACCCTACCATGCTGCCCAAATCCAGAAATCAGGGCAGTCCATGTTATGACATTCTTCTCCAATGACTTCTCAAACACGAGATAGCCATCATATGGACTACTGCATTTGAAGTACATGTCCATAAGGGCACTATTAACAACTAGGTTTCGACATATTTTCCTTTTGATCACCATAGCATGTGCTTGCTTGCCCTGTTCCAAAATAGACAAAGAGGCACATGCCCTAAAGACCGATGAGAAAGTGTATTGGTCGGGATTCAAGCCATGTTGTTTCATTTTGTAATAAAGGCATAAGCCGACTTCTTCCATTCTATACTCCACATACCCTGCAATCATTGCATTCCAGGAGATGAGGCATTTAAAGTTTAACCTATCAAATATATTGTGGGCAGTATCCATATCTCCTGACTTTGCATACAGGATTAACAGTTTGATTGTCAGGTATTGGTTTGGGAGAAACCCGACAACAACCATTTGTGAGTGAATTCTTCTCCCTTGCTTGTATGCTTTCGTAAAAATGCATTCCT